AGTTTCATTTTACTGTTGATGCTGGGCTTCAGTTTGCTATGTAGAAACCTAAAGTATTGAAGCAGCTCCAGCCTAATGGCTTCCCAGTTTAAAATATTTTCTAACACATTCCAATGACAGATCAAGGTGGGACATGAAGGCCCTGGACATTTTGGCCAATGGACAACAACTCTGATTCCAAAGCTCCCTGCGAAATCAGTTGACTTCACTGAGCCAGGTTTTGCAGCTCAACTTCACCTTCTGCCCAGTCGTGCTTCCTTCCTCTCCCTTCCATAGGCATTGATCCCAAAGATGGTCACTAAAAACCACGCTGAACTCTAAACCCCACCTCAAAGGCTGTTTCCCATAGAACTCAACCTATGACCTCTTGTTTGCAAAATATAGATAATAATAATTATACACATAGGTCATAGTGAAGACTAATAGCTGTGTGGAGTACCCAGCCCACAACAAGTACTTGAAACCGTAAGCCAACCTCGTTGTGGGGGTTTGCAAAGGCCAGTCTATTAATCACCTTGACTCTTCACTGGCGGGGATTCAGAGAGAAAAATTCGAAATGCCATAGATGATTTGTGTGCTAGATAAGTTATAGAAGGAAGTGGGGAAGGAAGGGGACATTTGGACCCAGCCCTGTGTGGACCCTGGCCTCCAGCTTACACCCCAGGAGGCTTCCCATAAAGAAAGTTAAGCCAAAGAACTGGGTCATCTGGATACTGGCAGAATATGAAGGCCAGGTTGTGATGGTGGAGGGCACAACCCTGGGAGTGCAAAGCCTGCGTCCAACACGCTGACCACCATGGCTATATTCCAGCAGCACCACCACCATGCCCAGAACCAACAAGAAGATCAGCATCCCAGATGCAAAGATGGGAGGCCAGAGGAGCAAATGAAGACCAGCTAGGGACATAGCAGCCACAGTCTCCTGCTATCCAGGAAGCTCACCTCTGGCCCCTTCACTGCCACAAATAAATCTTTGACCACCCCCCAGGGAGGTACTCAGACCAGAGACTGCATCGGTTTCACTACCTGGGGGGAGGGAGAGAGATTATTACTGTTATTTACACCAGCAGTCCCTACCCTTGTTGGCACCAGGGACCTTTGGCACCAAGGACTGTTTTAGTGGAAGACAATTTTTCCATGCAGGGAGGCTGTGAGTGGTGGGTATTACATTCCCATAAGGAACATGCAACCTAAATCCCTCATGCGAGCAGTTCACAGTAGGGTTCGTGCTCGTATGAGAATCTACTGCCACCTCTGATCTGACAGGAGACGGAGCTCAGGCAATAATGCTTGCTCTTGCTGGCCACTCACCTCCTGCTGTGCGGGGAGCCAGTTCCTAACAGGCTGAGGACCAGGGATGGGGACCACTGATTTCTATGACCTGGGAAAGTGAGGCTTGTGTACTGCAAAGCACCCTGAGGCTCTACAGAGACCTTCCCTGCTGGATCCAAGCACTGCTACTACCTTTTAAAGCAGCTGTCACTGCCACTATGTTGAAGAAAACACAGATGCATAGACAGCTTAAACAGTCACTCAAGGTCACAGAGCTGGTAGGAGGTGAACTGGGATTTGAACCCAAGTCTGATTCCAAGGTCTACATACTTTCAACCACTTAGCCCCATATAAGAGATTCCAAGAGTAGCGTTTTGTTCTTTTGCTTATTTTATTGTTTTTAAATATGAAAGCATCCCAGGAGACTCAGATACAGAGCTGAGAACCACCACACCCTGTCAGACCGCTTCCTGTCACTCATGTCAGTTCAGCAATGGATCCCAACCCCAGGGCTAGGAAGCTGTTGCTCCTGACCTCTACTCTCTCCTAGGAATCCACATCTAGAACAGCCTTTTGTGCTGCTGTTTACTCACAATGGTCTCAAATACCAATGGCCTCACCCATATGGTTTACCCAGGCTGCTGGATGCTTCCATGCAACATGGCAGTACTTGTTTATTTTTGTGCACTGAGGTGAACAATGGCACTGCAAAATAAAATTCAGTTTCAGTGGAACACAACAGAAAGAAGTCAATTATCCAGCATGAATTATTTATCTGGAGACAATAACCATGATGTTATTCCCCACAAGAGAGGACTCTGCAACTTGGAACAGGAGAAAAAAAGATGTGACTGCTACTGTCTGCCTATTACACTGCTTCAGACTGCATCATAGGCAAATTAACACTTCTGACATCCTGTAACTACATATGCGCCTTCTCTGTGAATGTGGACCATGCATAGACCCCTAGAACATACACAATTAACAGATTGCTAGGTCCAGGGATTCTATTCCCCCAGTGTTCTGGCTAGGCCTGGCAATGCTAGGCTGTGAACATATTAAAGGAAATACCACCCTCTCTCTGTTGCTCATCCCACCCTATCAGAACTATAAGGATGAAGATATTGAAAAAAAAAAAAAAAAATTTCACAAGCTACATCTTCTATGGCCAGCCATAACTCCTGATGTTAAGTCAGTCTAGGGTCTTCCTCCCAATGGATTTGCTGTGCAAGATCAGTTAGAAATCATGCCTTGCCTCCTAATAATTTGATTCCTAAATCATTTGTATGTAATTTAATTTCCTGTGACCTTAAAACTTCTGAAGAGGTTGGAAGTGGGAGAGAGAGAGGGAGAGATAGGTCAGTGGTTCTCAGGAGCCTAAAATGGCCCAAGATCTGATCTTTGCACCTCATTCTCTACTCAGAGCACCTATTCCTCATGGGAAGCAGGAGAAATTAGCATTGATTAAGCAGGTCCTATGCTCCAGGTAGGGGCTTCATACACATAATTTTAAATGCTCCTAAAACCCAATGATGCATGTATACATTATCCTCATCTCATGGATGAAGAAACTAAAGCCCAAAGTTATGACTACTATGTAGCAGAACCAAGAACCAAGCTGGAGCGTTTGCACTCCTAACCACTGTCCTAAATGTCCCTGTGATGATGGCTTTCTCAACCCCAGCACAGGTTCAGATCTGACCATACCAGGACTGCAAGGGGGTGTTTGGAGGGATCCCAAAGCCCTGTAGCCAGAGCTGCTGCTATCCACCTGACTACACAGTTCCCAACCTACTCTCTGGGCAGGGGAGACTCAGGCTTCACTGCAACCAGGGTAGTTTCACTTTTTCCTGGTTTAAAATATTAGGCTGTTGAGAGTGTCTGTCTATGATTTCTTTTTCTCACTCAGGTCACTTGCTGAGGGTTAGGGGTCAGGAGAGGGATTTCTGGAAGAATTTCCCCATATCACCTACGTGAAGAGCTCAACACACAGCAACAGGCACTCAATAAGTAATGACTCTGCATATGTAGCTCTCAATATGTGACACACACTTTGCATATATAGATTTATTTAATCCTCACATTCACTCTATGAAGAAGGTGCTAGTATGACTTCCATTTCTACATGAGAAAAGTGACAGACAGATGATAGGGTTCAGGAACTTGCACAGACCACACAGCTAGTGAGATGTATAGCTCAGCATTGAAGCCAGGCAGTCATGTGTCCAAAGCTGACCCCACTTCCCCGTCTCATGAAAGACCATCAGCCATTCCAGGCTAAGGCAGGCCCCATCTTGAAAAAACCACATACACCCTGACAGGTCTGTATCTCATCATCTCTGAGTTCCACCTTAGAGGTGCTGTGTGCAAAGATAATTGGATCCCCATATGATGTCTTATGCTTGGCTTCCAGCTGCAGAGGAAATTCTGAGTGGCATTTCTAACCATGCTCTGAGTCCTCAGGAACATGCATGAATTGTATATCACATCCTAAAACCTCTTTATAATGATGGCTTTGTGGGATCAGATTGGTGTGTACACAGAGGCTAAACCAGTTCCAGTAGACTTTTAACAAATAATAATTTTTTCTGATTTTAAAAGCAACACATACTCCAAAACAAATAATAACCAAACAAACAATATTGAAAGTAATAACATAGTAAGATGAAATCCCAAGTAATTCAGATGGAGGGTTAAGGATAAAGGTAAAATGTCAGTGATACATGGAATATGTTAACACAAGACATTACAAAATAAAACGATGGCTTAATAGTTTTACAAAATCTACTTGGATTGTGTTGCCTCAAAATAACCCCATCAAAATGTCTCAGCAAAATAAATAAATGAATAAATAAGGCTAAGTGGAATCTCCAAGCACTCTGAGGTTGCTGAGTTCCTCTATAGATCAAACCTACATTACAGTGACCAACTTTCCAGGTTTGCCAGGAATTTCCAGGGCCACAGGACTTCCATACCCAAATCAGTACAGGACCCGGCAAACGGGGACAGTTGGGCAGGAAAGATCTAGCACCCTGGCACTTCTAACACTGGTTCAGGTTCAGGCTCCAGGACCAGTCACATTAAACCAGAACCTGCCTTGCCACATCTTCCAGCTGTGTGCAGGCACTTCTGGTGGCCCCAAATGTCTCCTTCTTCAGACAGGATGTTCTCAAGCCCTCTCCCCTCATTATCTGGGCTTCACCTTCTTCTCAGTATGTGCCTTTCCCATCCTCCCTCATTGCCCAACTCAGGACAACAAGTACTTCCCAAGGATCAGCTCTATGCTCCGTTATCTCCTTGGTGCTCTGGGCAAAAGAGAAGACATCCAAGGGTAGAATGACACCTTCCAAAAGCCTCAGAGAGGGCCTCCACTAACGCCAAGGACCCCCAGGGGCTCCAGCTCCCTAGTCACGCAGGATCAGGAGCCTCCTCTGGAGTCCTCTATCTTACTAGCACACCCACTTGATTCTTTGTTTCATGGTCAGCCTCAGCATTAGACTTCAGCTCATTAGAGGCTGGGATGTGCCTGATTCTTCAGTGTCCCAGGGTCCAGTTCCATTGATATTTGCTGAGTGAACATGGCATCCCCAATACATTATTCTCGGCTTCCTCCCCAGAAAATTGCATGGGAAGATGGGGTCACCTGCAGCCTCAGGATGCTGGAACTGGACCTCAGTCAGGGTTCAGATGGGGTAGGCCTGGCCTGGAGTGACAGCTGTAGGACTTACCGCTGACCCGGCAGGGTGATGGAGTCCAGGTGGCGACCTCCAGGCAGCGCCATCATGTTGATCCCAATCTGCAGCAAGGCCTGCTCGCAGCGGTCGTGACCCTGAAAATAGAGGGCAGGATGGCACAACAAGGCCCTAAGAGAGGAGGCACAATCACTTTCTCTCCCATTCCCAGGCCACAAGGAACCAAAGCAGGCAAAGAGGTAAGGCCTCCTAGCCCTCTTCTTCTTTTGAACCAGTTTTCACTCCACTATCCTCATACAAGTAAGGCAGAACCCAGATTTGATCTTGTTTCTAAGTCCCTAGTCCACTTTATATCTCTAAAATATTATCTTATTCCAATTTCAAATATTTGCCTGACTTATTTTGGTATGTATCAAATTTTGGAACACACAGCCTGTAAGTATTGCATAGGACATACTTGTACCAAAAAAGTATCTATGGTTTATCTGAGATTCACATTTAACTGGGCATCCTGTATTACTTGCTAAAACTGGCAATTCTACATTCTAATTCCCTGGCTATTACCACTGTAGAACTGGGTTATTCACTGTGATTATGCTTAAGTCTGTCCTGGAAAATGTGACCCTGTTACTGGCATAGTGGTTGCTTTCCCAAATCCATTTCACTTCGGATGATGCAACTGTACCCAAATTGCCAGTGGTTGGTTCAGAAATAGGCATGTGACTCAATTTAGGCCAATGAGCCACGACAGGACTGCTTCTAGGAAAAGTGTTCTTTCTCCCAACAGAGAGCTGCAAGATGAGACAGTATCTCTCCTGTTGGACTTGAACAAGGGAGCATATCCACTTCAATGCTGCTAGAGACCATCTTGCAATCATGAGCAGCACTAGCTGGAGAACAAAGTTAACACACTCCAAGAAAAATATGCTGGGTCCTTGATCACTAAACCACTGAATCAACTAAGGCTGGAGTCTGGCCCAGCTCTAGGCTTCCTATTATCTAAGAAAACAAAAGCTCTTGTCGTTTAAGTCAGTCTGAGTGAGGGTTTTTGTTCTACACAGCCAAAAGCATCCTAATGAATAAAAGTAATCCAGGTTCCAGGAACTCCCAATCCCAGCACCGAGGATGCAGCTGGCTTCCCTGTGCCTCACATTTGAACCCAAACCAACTACCCACCTGTTTGTATTTTTCTCCCTTGCCTTGTCCCTGCTGTGCTCCTGGAGGCCTTTTTGTACACAATCTCTTTTTTTCATTTCTCTCTCTCTCTGCCAACTCCTCCAAGCCCATGAGTAAGCCCTCCCTGAGGAATATGCAGATTCTGTCACCTTTGCCTGGGCACATCAACAGAAGAGTCTTACTCCGTGATTACAAAGGAGCACTATAGAAAAGAATGGAGGAGGAGCATTTTAACAGTGATGTGGGTGAACACGAAGCACTCATCATAATGCTGGGAAGAAAGAAGAAAATGGTCAGTCGGAAAAGTGTGGGGAGGCAGGAACCCAGAATAAACTAGGGCACTAGATAATTCCAGAGACTTGCTGCTGTTGCCTGTTTCTCTGTGGAGCTCATTAGACTGTGAGCTTCCTGAGGGTAGACACCACATGTGTTTCTGGCACTGAGCCAAGGGCCAGGCACTTAGCCTGCACTCTACACCTCTGTTGAAAGAATGAGTGGGATAAATTTTTAATACATTGATGTTGAGCCCCATCTCTTCATCTGTAACTGAGGATAATAATATCTATTTTAAAGAGCTACTATAATGATGACATGAGATTAGGAATGTGGAAGTATATGGCCAAAGTAAGAGCTAAATAAATAGTTAGCTATTATTATCGTTATGTCCTATAAGTCTGCTATGTGCTCAGCTCTCTGGTCATCTATGCTAAGGGAGATGTAGAAAATGAGATACAGCAGGTAACTCACCTAGCACAGCGAGAGGCTCAGCAAGCGTTCATTAGCATATGTTATCACCATCGTTATTTCCATCATTATTATCATTATTTAGAAGGTATATTTTTGGAATTTAGTGAGCCAATAGGCTGAAATGGATGGCACAAAAGAAACACTAGAAACAATAAAATGAGGTGTTTGCTCCCTTTTGATATGTTTGACTAAAGTACAAAAAAGGAAAATACCAACTTCTTAGGGTAAAAGCTAAGATGTGATTAGATGGCAGTGAGCAAGTAGATTTTGTTTTACTTCCACATCTTCATTACTGAGAAGAAAAGAGGCAAAGTAAATATGTTGAAGTGGGAATTAGAGCCTAAGGTAGGAGAGGAGACAGGGAAATACTGAGAAAATTCCAGGACCCTTTGAAGTTTGAATCAAGAGGAAACTTTCGGATGAGGTGAAGCATACATACCATAGAGTATTAGAGGAACCTCTGACTCTGATTCAAGTCATTTCTGAGGGACCCAGAGAAAAAAAAGAGTTGTCATGAGCAGAAGCCTGAATGCAAAAAAGTGTTCTGAATTCCTAAGAGGCAGATTCCAGAAATACAGCTCTGTGACCGTAAATTCTATAGCCAATTCTGGATCACCGACCTGTGAAGCCTTCAGAAAGAAGCAGTGAGCACAAGAAGCCAGCTAGAACACAGCAGGAACAAGCCAAAACAATCAACTTCTTTTCCTTCAGGAACCTCTGGGCTGTTAGCTGAGGGAACTGCAATAAGTCTAATTTATCTCGATTTTTTTAAAGCATCCCAGTGAGGTGCCATCATTCATCCTTTTTACCCATGACTTCCCAGCAGGTATTCAGGGGGAGCCTGCCAGCTCACAAAACCTTCCTTCATGTGATCTCTTGTGTTCCCAGAGGCTGGGAAGGCACCTTAAAGACATCTGATTGCATATGCATCACTGCCCTATTCACAGACTGTGTCATTATTGGCTGCCTCTTTGCCCCCAAAAGACAAGATTCCTTAATGTCTAAAGCCAAATCTTGCTGAATGTGGGATTAGGCACAGTCCTGACCCAATGACCTGCATGGTCAAGACTATGGGTTGTGAATCAGATTAGGCCTCAGAGGAATCACAGCTCATTTTCACTAAGGATGAGGAAGAATATCTGAAAGGCGAGATAGGAAATACTTGTTTAACCCAGCTGATGTTTATAAAGTATCTATAACAATAATAATTATAGCTAATATTTACTGAGGATGTCTTATGTGCCAGGCACTGTTCTAAATGCTTCATATAGTATTAGTTCATTTAATGCTATCATCATCCTCTGTTACAGATGAGACCTCTTACATTCAGTGAGAAGCACAGGTTAGTAGGTGGCAGAGGACTAGAATCCAGGTTTGATGATTGAAGGGGAGGTGCTGGAGCAGATGAAGATAAGAGCCTGTGTTCAGCCTTTGCTAACAGACAGCCTGACTCCATTTCTGAATGGCAACACCCAACCCCAGAGGGCACTTCTCAGAGATGCCAGCACTCTTCCCTCTCACCAGCACCGCCTACTGCTCCCACTTCCCGGACTGTGAATCTTCCAGCTTCATCTAGTGCCAGCCCTCAGTGACACAGCCCTCAAGAAGAAAAGCAAACACTGCAGTCATATGGAAGGAGAAGGAGACATTTCTCTTTTGTTCCTCATTTATTGTCACTTTTGTGAAAGTCATATGGACAGAGATAGGCCCTAAAGGGTTCGGGGGATGGGAGATCATAGTTCCAGTTAAAGCTTCAAATAGACCTGTTTAAAGCATGCTATCCTCAGGGAAGCTCCTACTGCAAAATTCCATCTGCAATCTGAAGCCCTTGCATCCACCCACTCCCACAGCCCTAAGTCAGACTCATCCTGTTGAGCAGACTAAAGAATAAACTCCTTCCAAAGTTACACAGAATGTTAGGAAACCAAAACTGAGTTCAAGACAAGCCCTTGGTCCTGGGCTCTGTGTCCTCACTGGTATTGCAAAAAGAACATGAACTTTGGAATCTGATAGATTCAAATCCTGACTTGTACAAATCCTGACCTGATAAGTACATAACCTTGGGAAAACTGCCAACCCACTGAACATGTGGTTTCCTCAATTATACCTACTTCCCAGGAGCATCATGAGGATTAAATGAGATTACTTGCAAAAGTCCCCAGTATTGTGCTTGGCATATAGCAGCCTCCAAGAAGAAGTACCCTTCCTGTTGGAAGGAAGAGTTAAGAAATATATCTCAGAGCAGAGCTGCTGCTTTTCCCAGGAAGAGAGGTGAAAAGGACACATGCAGGAGTGAGCAGGAAAGAGGAAATCCCTCCATCACCTGTCCCAGGGCCTTTCCTAATTCACTGAAAATCCCACCATGGATCCTGCACCCTTGTTTCTTCAGGGCTCTGGACTATGTAGCTCCCACCAGAAGTGGCTAGTTTACAAGAAAGACTTGAAGTCTTAAGTGTCTCTGATTTAATTCAATGCTTGCTGTGACAACAGCTCCATCTGGACAGCTCATTTCTGCGCCCACATCCAATTAGACGCAGCCTTTGCTCACCTCCATTTGGCTAATGACACATGGTTTGTGGAGGAAATGGAGGCTATTTACAGTCAATTATTCAATTAAAATCAGGAGCAAAGGTGGTTTCCGCCATTGTCTAAAGGGCCGATCCAGGTACAGCTCCAAACATGTCTGGGATTGCTTAATCTGCAATCCCATTAGGGCTGTCAATATTAGTGCTGTCAACACGAAAGGGACAGGGGAGAGTAAGTATTGTGGAAAGTAGTTAAGCTTTGGCGGCAGCTCTAGGAACAGGGAGGAGGTTGCTGGGGAGTCGAAGAGGAGTTAGACAGCACCAGGCAGATATGGCTCTTTCTCCAAGACCAGAAAGTGCAAGAACTGGAAGCAACAGAGATGTCCTGTCAGCCCATCATTATGAACCTCGACCATTTGGAGCTGAAAAGGCCCTTAGAGAGTACTGCTTTACTGGGGAAGAAATCAGGGCTTTTCCAGAGTTTCCATATCTGTTTCCCATCTGTAAAACGGGGCAAAAATAGACAACCTCACAAGATTGTTGTGAGCACCAAGATAATCCACGTGTAAACATGTATCTTTCTTTCTGGCCTCTAACATATGAACCCATTTCCTACATTTGAGAAATATCCCTTTGTTTAAGAGTCTTAGTGTAAGGGAAACCCGCCTCCCAACATGGAAACT